TAAATTATTTCCAAGTTCCCCTGGATTTTTAAAATCATGACAAAGCAACACTCTTTCCTGGACATCAATGCTGCACACCCCACTCGACTGAATAGTCTTGCAGAACACTTAAGTAAAACATGTAAGTGTTCACTCTTACAAAAGAGGAATTTGTGTGACACGGTACTTTGAGAAAAGGGCCCAAGTCACATCAGCAGAACCCACTGAGTGTCTCCTTGTAGAAAGAGTCAGGCTTTGGGCCAAGGACCCTGCTGACCCAGCACGTCTTATAATGACCGAATTATAATCTCATCGGTGAGTTCTTATCTGTGTCATTTTACAAAGGCGCATGCTTAATTTTTGAGGAGGAAGCTGACCGTCAGCAGCTGACAATCACGCTGCTGGTGTTATAGAAGACTATAAACAAGTGAATTTTGAAATGTTCTTTCTCGGTCGTATAGGTTGCTTCGGGCACAGAGCCCAGGGGTCCCAGAGCTCCAGACGCCTTTGCCTTCTCAAAGGGCGCACTGTGGAATTGCACAATGCCTGAGCTTTCGTGCGAGTAATTCACCCAAGCCCGTTCGTGGGAAGCTACCCCACCATGAGGTAGCTGCTCTGGAGATCCCAACCCAGCTGAAAAACCAGCCCATGTAATCAATTTGACTTCATCAGAGCTGGTCATGGTTCCTGTGCTTTAAGTCTTTAAAGTGCTTCCCCACACACACAGCACGAAGGCCAGACACTGCGGTGTGGCCTCCAGGGCCCCCCAGCCTCACCGTCCTCGAGTGGGGCCTACCCTGGACTGCTTCCCTCTAGGGTGCCATGTCCCTTCCCATTCCCCTGCCTGGGAACCCCGGACCCCCTCTGCCGGGAACGCCCCTCCCTCTCCTCTGTCCTCTGACCAGCATCCTCTCAAGCTAACATCCCCCTCACAACAGCCTTCATCATCTCTCTTACAAATGCCACCCCACACTGTCACTTTTAACCCACATGCCTGCCTCCTACATGGAGCTGTGACCTCCAAGAGGTCAGGGTCTGTGTGTTTTGCGGGGTGCTGTGGCCCTGGGACTTCGCCATTCGTACTTCCAGTTACCTGCTCGTGCCCGAGTTCTCTGCTTGACCGTGATCTCCATAAAGGCCAGGATCGGATGTGTCACATTTTCCTGCCTAGCACACAGTCGTGACAAATAAATGTTTATAAACTCTATGAATCAACTATGAGTTTCTGGAGGGAAAAAGAACTTCTCCACTTCTATGTGTGTCCCCCAACAGTCAGCACAGTGCCCAGCACATGACAGGTACAGTCAATGTCTGAATTACCAGCAGAAAGGGAAGTTGAGGCCTGCTACAATTCTGGCTTAATTGTGGCCAGACTTTGTCTACCTTGGCAAGATCTGGTCTTTCAAGGACTCCTCATGAAATAATTAATTGAGGCTTGTTGGAGGCCTTGGAGCTCAACAAACAGTTCAGCTTGGCTTGACTTATGCTCTAGTCTGTTCAGAATTTCTTCTGCACAAACATCACATGTCCCAGGGTGAACCCAAGGGGCTGACAGGGAGGGCAGGGGACTGGTATACTTCTAGAAGGCAGCCACTGCTACTGACAACACTTTTGAGGCACTTGCCCAGTATAATGCTATTTTCCCATTTTAGTGTTGCCGCTATCATGCAACCTTAAAACATGAACTGTCCCACAGGAAACGAAAATAGTTGGGACGTCTCAGATTGCCTCTTATGTCAGACCTTCCAGAACCGGAGTCTTTAAAAGTTGACCATCTGTGAGCTGTGACTTCCACCTGTGCTTTTCTCGTGTAGAATTCGACTGGTGGGGACGCCTATGTATTAAAACATCTGTATCAACAGTCCTCACAGGACTGCTCCTGGGACACTTGTCCTTAGGGTGACCTATGGAGAAAGAGTTCCCAGGTCAGATAAATCTGGGAGTTCAAGGGCTCTTCAGGGCCCTGCTGTCCAGTTCTCTATTTGGTTTTGTCACCCGACGTTTCCCAAACTCTGGCCGTGGACTCGTTTTGTCTCAGTATCCATGTCTGCAGAACGTGCTTTGGAAAACAAGAAACAACACTCCAGAAGAGAAGTCGACACACCTTTCAGTAAAGAGCCAGATAGGAAACGTTCTCGGCTTTGCAGGCTGCATAGGGTCCCTGCCTCCTGTTTTTCTTCCGTTTGCTTTGGTTTGTACAACAACAGGCCTAGGGCTAGATCTAGCCCCAGGCTGCAGTCGTTTGCCAACTGGCTTTAGAGTATTTTCCCGACAAGCCGTTGCCGGAGTGGACTGCAGTACAGTGAGCTCCTACTGGCACGTCTGCATTGCTCTTGAGAATCTTTCACTCCTTCTCTTTTGGAAGCCTTCGAAAATGGTTCGTCCTCATAAAAGCATTTCCTCGGCAATCCCAGGCAAATGCTAAATCACAATGTGCATCATTAAAGAAGCCCTATCATATCCAGTTGTGGTCACTTCCTGTGCTCAGAGCATGGTTGTGGGTGCCGTGCGTGGGCTGTCACAGCAGGTCTCTGCGGGAGACGTGGTGACGCCCTTATTCCAACCCTGGCTATCCAGCTGCCCGCCGACTGCACAGTCTGGTCAGGCCGACTGGCCACAGACAGGGCTGATTCTAGCCAATTGTGCAGCACCCCTGGTGTGCAGGGCAGAGCGCCCACGCTGGGGCCACCTGCGCAAAGCGTCATCGCTGGCCGCAGACCAGCTGCCCCGCCAGCCCTTGCTGTGGGCTTTTCCCATAGAGCCGTGTCCAGTCAAGGGCTACAGAATCAAAAACACCTGGGTCCAAATCTTGTTTCCATCGTAACACCATTCGCGTGATCGTGAACATGTTAATAAATCTCTTTAAACCTCAGTTCTTTCCCCGAAAAGTGGTACCACCACCTCCCTTGCTGTGCTGCTGGGAGGGTCCCCGAGGCCGGGGGGGCGGGGTGAGGGGTGCGGTGGGGGGAGGAGGTGTGGAGGTGCCAAGGATGCAGAACAGCGTGGGCCCTGCCCCGCTGCCTCCGCTTCTGGGACAGCTGCGTTGAAAGAGAGCGACGAAAAACAACATCGAACACGCAGGCCTGTCGTGGCTGCGGAAGCGCAGGGTGCGGCAGTTGATTCCAGCCAAGGAGCGGGGAGGACCTCACGGTGGCCCTCTGAGCTAGAATCCGGGGGCATCCGCCTGCGGAACGGCCGCTGCTGGCGTGAGCCTGGGAGGAGGCTGTGGAAGAGGCAGGACGGGCCCCGCCGGCCCACAGTGCCAAGTACAGTTCACGCCCTGCTTCGAAAGGTCCCAGGGAGAAAACGGGCTCCCTGACCTCCAAGTCTGTCGTTCCTAGTAATTTCCCTGGAATTTTTGTGCCCTCAAAAATTTTCCAATTGCAAAACATTGTACAGAGAGAACTGTGCCATCTGGAGCATCGATCTGTCCCTAATGCTGTTGGTGCCCTGAACCGCCCTCGGGGCCGTCAGCGACTCTGGGTTTCGCCCAGTCACCTTCCACCCGAGCTTCCCTGTGCCTGCTCTTCAAGTACCCAGCCTGCCGGCCCTCGAGTGAACTGAGTGAGCCGAGAGGACCAGGCCTCAGGCTCTGTCCCAGCAACGGGGGTGGGGACACAGGGTACACACCATTAACACCACTGCTCTGTGGTCCCCTGCGTGGTTACAAATGCCCTGGCATTTGTTTACCCACACGAGACAGTCACCAACATTCAGATAAATGAAGTTGGCGCCTGCAAGATTTATGATACACTTCCGTGCTCAGCAATGTTTAATCAGGAAGTTAACATATTACAGTGTAAAATCCTTTACAAGCACGTACAAACAGAGAGCCACCACGAGCACTTTGGCAGGCACAGGGGGTCAGACGGGACCTCCAGCCTCTCAGGGAAACTCAGGGACTCTGCAGACACCACACTGGCTGGCAAAGAGAATTAGCAACGACACTGGGGCTCTTTTTCCCATTTTTTTTTTCGTTTTATTTACTGCGTTTTAAGGTTCTCATTTTTGAAGAGGCAAGGTGGTAAGTGAGAACACATGAGGGGCCTTGTCTCTAGACACTCCCACCCACCGCCCCGAGTGAGGAATTAGGGAAGGTAAATGAGGGTCGGGAAAGGGGGTGGAGTTTAGAGTGTCTGGCAGGGCTGGGAGTGTGCGGAGAATCCGAGTGAGGAATCCCACCTGGAGGAGGAGGCCGCTCAGCCCCGTGCCATGAGCCCGGCTCCACGCAGTCTGGCCAACATCTGGAATGGATATCGGAGACACGGGCGGCGCTCGCTGGCGCGCCGGTCTACCTTTGTACTTTCGTTGCAAATTGAAAAGCAAAACAGACATCAAGGATATATTTATATAACTATCTTCAAGTTGCATTTTCTACTCCCATCTGCTGCACATGATAAGTTTCAAGTGTTTTCTAATAAAAAAAAAAAAAAATGGGAGGTCGGGGCAGAGTGGAAGGAAGGCAGGGTGTGTGCGTGTGCACCCCAGCATGTGCTCCTTATTTGGTGTGCAGACCAGGCTTTCTTGGGCTTCGGTTAAGGAAGTTAAAACGTGCAGTCTCTGAAGGTATTACTGTTTTAAAATATTCTGATATTTTACATGTGAGACTTATTCAAAAAATTTCACTGGAGCACATTAAAGAAAAGGAGGTATATTTATTACATCTTTAGAGTCCTTGCTGGGGTGGAGAAAGTTGTAGGGAAAGAAGCACATATTTTTGTTGTTAAGTCTTTGGAGAAAAGAGAAATGTGGAGGCGTGAGATGGTGGAGTGAGATATTTAGGGAAAAGGTACAGCGTAAGACAGAAATACATCAGGCAGATCCAAGATAATTTAGGTTTGTCTACATTTAGGTAAGTACGTGAATCCAGATGTGACTTTGTTGACTATTCACGAACAAAGCTGGAACCACCCCAGCCACGTTGAGCACAGCGCCGGACAGTCCAGTTACCATCCAGGGCTGGAGCCAGCCCGTTCATTTCAGTTGTTAGAGGAGGAAAGAGCGAGGGTGGAGGGATTCCATAACTTTCTTCTACCGCTAGCCCGTGCTTAGACATGGAAAGCAAAGTGATGAATCATGAGACAACTGCCCAGATAATTCAGGATTTATTAAAACTAACAAACCAAAAAAGCAGGCCTAAACATCTGGATGTGCTGGGTAAAAGTAAGGTGTTCTCCTTGCTTCCATTAGCTGGATATTTTTGCTTGTCACTTTAAAGGGGACGGTCCGTGTCGAACATCACCAGAAGAAAGGCAGAATGCCCAGTTCATCTAGCGACTGGTCTTCAATCCATATTTCTGCTGGTGACTTTCCTCTATGTCCAAATGCAGAAGTCCCTGCAGATCCAGAAATCCCACACCCCACCGTAACAGGCTGGGGGAGACGCCATTGCTGGTGTGCACTCGCCCGCTTGGAAGGCGTGAGGGCTGATTTCGGATCGCAGCCAGCAGGAAGTGGGAGAAAGAGCAAGACTTTGAAATGAGGCAGACATGAGGTCAAATCTGGGCTCCACCACTTGCTGCCAAGTAACCTCGGACAAGTTACTTAAGCTTTTTCATTCTCAATTACCTCATCTGGCAGATGAACCTGGTAATACATAAGTCACGGGGTAGTTAGAAGAATTAATAATGGGTTAACATTTGTAAAATGTTGACAGTGCACTTTTAGCAGGACTTAGGAAATAATTCATATTTTTACCATCCTACATCACTAGTCAAATAAGCAGCATGCTGCCTCTCAGCCCCTGCTTACCCACGGCTGACGTCCTGATCTATTCCTGCACAATTCCACACCGGGAGAGGTCTCAGCCTTAATATCCTGGTCATCGAACTCTTCAGACACCCACTAGCAAGTGATCAAACTTGTCACACCAAGCTAAATCTATTTGTCATGTTGGTCTTGCCTGGATGAGACCCTCCCTGTAGCAGAGAGGGGGAGTTCAGGGTATTTGTTGAATGCCTGCGATGTACCTGACGCTAGGCAAGTGCTTTTCATTTGATTGGGGGCTACATTTCTCTTCCAGTGGTAACAGGCGAAGGGCACCTGCGTTCCTGAGCTCTTTCGCTCGGTGTTCTTTCTCCTCCCCGTTTCTCCAAATTCACTTCCCCATGTGTGAGCCCTGACTTGGCGTGAAACCTACCAGCAGGACTGCAGATGACATACAGAAGTGATAACAAGGATTTGTGTGATCATGTGACTCTTAATAGCTAAAGAGACCAAGCCGTATATTTGCATGAAGTATTTAAACTTGGGAACTGCTATCTTCAGGTCACATATAATTGTTTTACTAAAAGAATGCATGCTTTAACTAAGAATTCTACTTCCGCACTTCTCGGTGCAAAGAGAAAAGAAAACCCCCAAATCATAAAACATGGCTTTGTGTTTCGTTTTTTCTGTAAAGGAAAAACCAACAGCAGACAGAAGCCCATGGTTTCGCAGGATTATCTGAAGCCCTGGTCACTCTGAGACCCAGTCGCCTCTCATAAGTCCTCCACAGGTACAGAAGCCAGTGCTGGTGGAGCGACACCCGGGGCAGAGAAAAGCCCACAGGGCACTCTGGGCTCTCTCCAGGGAGACTAAACAAAGAATCACCCTGGGCTCTCTCCAGGGAGACTAAACAGAGAATCCAGCAGGAGACGGCTCGTTTCCTCGAGTTTCACTCATCTAAACAACAGGTAGCAGAAGGGTAAAGGGAAGAGCTAGCATGAACACCTACATCCCCAGCACCAGCCATTATGCCAGACCCCACACTGACACCGCTGACTGTGCACGTGTGCCTCAGTTTCCTCCTCCGTAAGACGGGGCAATAACAGCACTGACTCCCACAGGCAAGGAGACGCTGCCTGAATGCTCACCGCTCCCTTCAGAAGCAAACACAGAATCAAATCCAAACCCCAGCCACAACTGTGGCGATTTCTAATGATTCTGTGCATCTTTTAAAAAGGGGTGTGTATGTATTTATGGTAAAATTAAAATACGTTAAATATATTTATTTGTATGCACTGTTCAATAAAATGTACAGGACATTGGTTTGGACTGAGCTCTTGCACTAGGCCCAACAGGTCACACCGAACTGGAGTCACTCATGCTAAAGCCCACACCCCCGGGACAAAGCCAAGTTGCCATCTGATCTTCCAAGACGTCAGGAGAGAGCAGTATTAGGCAAATCCCCAAACAGGCCAGGTTTAGCCAGCATAGTACGACAGTCCCCTCTGTTTTAACCGTACAAGGACAGTCACTCTGATATGACCAATCTGCTTTTTGTTTTCTACTTCTGCTTTCCCCAGCCCTTCCCGTCCACGAAGCCAACCGCCTCTGCCCAGCCCGTCGGAACACTCGTTCCATCTTATATAACAGAATGAGGTGTTGCCCAATTCCGGGATCGCAAAGAAAAGCAATTCAGATCTTTAAACTGGATTTGTTGTAATTTTGTCTTTTGACAACACACACACACACACACACACACACACACACACACAATGTTTTCTCATTCAGCCCCCATGTTTTCTGTTGCCTTTTTAGTTGGGGGAAAGGGTTACAATTACATCAAATTTTGTAATTTAAAAAAAAAATCGTTTTCCCCACGGTTAAACAAACACATTGCTATTTGGCCATGAACTTTGGTTGTTTCTCACTGACAAAATTTCCAGTTTTGCTCAATTTCCAAAAGAAGAGTTTAGACTCTTACCTAAGCTATGTTTGTCCAAAGAGGTCAGGATCAAGCCTGAAAGACGTTTTGATCCAGAAAAGAGTAGTCATGCTTTCTGTCACTGGACACAGTCACGGAAAATTACAGCACAGATGTTAACACTGGATCTTTCGTCTCTTGCCCAATGCCCCACGAAGCTACAGAACAAAACCAGAAGAAGGAGAAAAATGAGAAAGGCCCACGTGGGACACTAAAGGGGAAGGCACCCGTGTGGTAGTTAGTCCCTTAGGCCAAGGGCAGCAGAGGGAGGGAGGGAAGCTGGGAGCAACAGGCGCAAGCTCAGGGTCTTTCTGAAACTGGTGGAGGGGACGGGCCGGTGTCCAAGAGGGTCGATTCCAGCAGCGCTGGGGTGAGCGTGAGTCCGAGCTCTGCCCTTCGTGCCTGGGGACTGCGAGCACATCTCTTCCCTCCTCTGCCCCAGCCTCTTCATCTGCAAAGCAGGAATAAAACAGTAACTCTCTTACAGTGTTGCTCTGAGGATTGAACAGCTCACATACATGAGGTGCCCAGAACAGCGATAAGCACAAAATGTGTTTAATACATTTTGCAAATAACATAAAAGGACTGAAAGGAATTGTTCCCGATACTTACAATGTTAAGATACAAAAGCCAATAGCATCATGATGCTGGTTGCAGGGTCCAGGGAGAGGGGAAAAGGAGAGTGACCACTTACTGGGTACGGGTTTCCTTCTGGGGTGATGACAATGTCTTGGAACTAGATAGAGGTGGTGGCTGCATGACATTGGAAATGTGCTGGGTGCCACCGAATTGCACACTTGCAAATGGTTAAAGACTGATTTTTTCTATGTGAATTTTACCTCGATTTTTTTGAAGGATAAAGAGAAGAAGGAAGGGAGGAAAGAAGAGGAAGAAGCGATTGGTAGCTGTGGACCTAAATGATCCTAGAAAAACACGGCTTTTGACAGGAGTTCCAAGACTCAGAGATGACCCTAAACTGGCCTAAGGGTCACAGCAAGTGGCCTGGCCACTCCTGGGTGCTCCTCGGCCCTTTGCCTGTCTACAGCTGGCACCAAGTCTCGCCAGACCAACTCTACACTTCTTTGCGGCCACTCATTCGGGTGACCTCAGAACCGTACGATGTGATTCTGGAGAAAGGACGCTCACACGCCTGCCCCCGCCGTCGGGAAGACAGGAGCCAGGACAAGCGGTGCCTCGTGAAGAACTGTGAGAACAGAATCCCTACAGCTTCTCTTCTCCAGGGCGGGTCTTCTTCACGTTCAAATTAAATCATTTTGGAGGGGCTGGGAACCCACTCCTTATTCTGTTATGAGAAGACAAAAAGAACAACTGTCACCAACTCAGGCTCAAAGAAGCCATGGAGACCCCGCCAGCCCCTGAGCCCACCTCTTTTTCTTAAAAGAAGAAACGGCAGGAGCCACTCCTTGTGCATCTGGAGACAAAGGAGGAGCTCGCGGGTCTCTGGAGGGAGGCACGGATCCAACAGGCCAGCCAGCAGAGGCTTGCGAATGCACTTTTCAGCTCTGAGCCAACAGACGAGTGCTTCAGAATGCTCTCAAACAGCACGTGCCTCTCAGCTGCCTGCCCAGAACCGCTCACCTCCAGGCGCGCAGTGCCTGGCTCAGTCCCGGCCGCAGCCACGCTGCCCGAGGCTTCTCCGGCCAGCCCGGACGGGCAGTGAGCAGCCAGCAGATGTCTTCCCAGCCCAAGTCAGTGGCTAAAGCATCCTCACTCGCTTCTAGACTTTGTTCAAAGCCTGTCCCCTTATTTCGGTGCTATTTTCCAAAGTGCTTTCCGTTGTCATCACGTCCATTCATTCCATAAATATGTACTGAGGACCTTCTACGCATCTATCTCGAGCGTGCCAGGACTTAGAATGTGAAAATCAATTAGAAGTGATCTTTAACCAGTTTGGGAGATGGGGGAGCTCTGTACGGAAATATACGTGTACTGCAGTGTGAGGTCTGTCGTAGCTGAGCTGCCACAGGCTGCAGAGGAGGCTACTCCCAAGCCCATCTGAGCTCAGGGGTCAGTTTTCAGACTTGGTAGAAAGACAGGAGATGGGAAAGGTATTTCCTGAAGGGATTTCCTACAGAGGCAAACACCAAAATTATACGAATTGAAAAAAAGGCATTTTTGCGTATTTAAGTTATTTTTTTTCATGGCCGGATTGTGTTTGTCTTTTAAGTGGGCTTAAATGTCTGATGGGAAAAGAAAGTGAGAGCACAAGAAAGATCAGACGGCGGGACAGAGGGGAAGAAGAGAGGAAAAGAGAGCACAAATTATGACTTTGTTCTAATATCACACACAATGGGATCACCCAGCAAAGAAATGTGAGAATAACCTTGCGTGAGTACAAGTGAGGTCAGGAATCTCAGCAAGTAGCAGTTCCCGGTTAATTAGTGGCCGAGACATCGAGACCGTGGTGTGTGCATCAGCAGAATGACTTTGGCTCGTGCAGTGATCTCCTTCCAAAATGTGTCATCTTCTCGTCCTGTTTTACAACTACATGAGGTTCTAGAAAGTATTTTTACCAAAGCCACAAAGCCACCAAGAAGATGAGGCATCTAAAAATGAACTATAATCAACCCTAAGTTAGGGTAGACTTTAAAATAACTAAAAGAGTGGAACTGGAATGTTCCTAACACAAAGAAATGATAAATGCCAGAGATGATGCATTCCCCAATCACCCTGATTTGATTAATTCACATTGTATGCCTGTATCAAACCATCACACGTACCCTATGAAGATATATAGCTATTATGCACCCGTAATAGTTGAAAATAAAGTAAAAACAAAACCACAAGAAGGTAACGGAGATGCTCAGCGTGTGCAGGACGGGGATCGTGCCCAGGGAGGCCCACGGCTGTCCACTAACGTCAACAAAAAAGTGCCTCGTTCATATTTACCTTCAACAATGAGAACAGATGTCACCATCTGGCTCTTGAAGGACTAAGCTTTCTGTTCACCCAAAGGGGATCAAAAAGAAGTTGGGGGACATCACCCTTAGCAGTGAGTTGTATGCTACGGAAAGTTAAACCCAGCTCTAGAGATCACTTTTAATCTGAAACTCTATAATTCTCATATGGTCACTCTAACAGGAAATTTTATAGACTCAAAGTTCACCAGGAATAAAAGGCTAGAACCAAACAGTGTTTTCAGATGACAGGTGAGTCTTGTTTCTTCAGGTGAGTCTGTGGGAGCTGCAGCTCTGTGGTGCGTAATGACCATAGAGAGGCCCTCTAGGATGAATGGGGGCATTTGTGGATAATTTATTAAAATTCCATTTAGGTTTGGAAACCCCTAAAATATGTCAGTTGGGTTAAGAATCTGTCCCTCCACCTCCACATTTCAACTGATCCGTAGCCAGAACAGAAATCCCCCTCTTGCTGTCCATATATCCCTCTGATAAAAACTCCAACTCAAGTCAGAGTGCCATACAGACTGTAGCATGGAAAAAGTTCTCACTTCAGAAGAACAATTGTCTGCTACAGAAATAAAGTAATGCCATTCCTACGAAATCTATAAACTCAAAACAGGGACACAGAACTAGTGGTTGCCAATAACTTTAACTTCATTTATCTATATTTGGCAAAAATTGTGCTGCAGCTGGAGATGAAATGCTGAGCTCAATAACTGCAGAGACGTGAGCTCCAAAACAGCAATTACTAAGCTGTGCTGCCTGGTGTAAGATTTCACTTTTATTTATTATATTTAAAGCAACTCTCTAACTCTGTACAGTACAGACAGCATTGTTCAGGCAATAGCTGCTCCTAAGAGCATCTCCACCTTGCTGTTTGTCCACGCAGGTGCTTTCAAGGGGGCAAAACATCTCCCCCGCAGCCACATGAACACAGCTTAGATGGCAGCCTCACCACCAAATGCACCTCTCCTTTGTCCGTAATTGGAAGAAACTATTCCATTTTCAACTCAAACTTGGCTTATCACATACTGTGCACAACTCTGATGATGCCTCCTTTTTTTTTTATCAGTGGAGATATTGATAATTATAATTGGAAAGCTGAAGAAGAGGACTATAAATATCTCATCAGCTGCCACAAAGTGGGGGGGTGGAGAGAGGTGGCAACCTACGCCTCTGAAAGGGGCTGGTGGAGGAAGATGGATCTCACAGCCATTGTCTACCCAGCCCACATCTGTTTCTTATAGCGGGTGATGATTCTCGTAGAATCACAGAAATTAGAGATAGAAAAGACCGATTAGGTCATTGAGCACAGCTCTCTGCCAGTGTAGGACAATTCTCTACAAGGAAGACGATCTCTTTATTCTCCTACAAAGCCACGATATTCACAAGTGGCTTCCCAATAGAGGATGGTTTTAAGTGGACTCCAGAGGTAGAGGAGTTGAAGCATTATTAAAAACCTACCTCTGTATAACAATAGTCTTTTATATGTTTATAAGACATGGCAAGACGGAATGTTAGCAATTCACAGAGCCTAGCACAAATGTTCAAACTCGACTCAGAAGAAACTCAGATTTTATTTTCCCCCGAAAATAGGAGGAATAAAGAGCTGGCCAGGCAGTTATTAAAGTTATTTTTTAATCCAGTTCTAAAATTGTTTCCAAAAGGTGAACTTCCTGGGATTTAACACACTTTTTTTTGTGACCATCATTCAGTTTTTTCATATAATGACAACCTAGCTCAACGTTTGAGCTACTAAATAAATTGATTTCTATTTTTGAAGCAAATTCCATCTCATGTGTTTGATGCTGCTTTTTGTCTGTGAAACTTTACTTGCAAAGCCCAGATATCTGCCTGGCCTCCGAATCTACCCTCTTATCTGCCTTGTTCTCTCAACGCCATAGGAAACGCATCTGCCTTTGTGTTGACTTGGTTTCTAATTCTGATTCACACTCTTTTCTTTGGTGGAATCTTTAACTTGAGAAAATCTCCACTCTTTCACCTACAATCTACGATTTCTAATCAGTGGGAACCAGACTTTATTTTTTCTATCTTGTGCCTTTTCTCTTGTGTTAGGCAAGAACTCAGGTAATCAACTTCACACACGTTCATGATATTCTGCTTATCACATGTGACTCAGTAAACATTGACTCGAAAAGTGTGATTTAGCCTGGTAGAAGTACATGGTCTGAAAGGGTGAGCAAAAGAGAATGCTGAATCAAATCAGGAACCCCAGCCAACTGGGATGTGAATTAACAACCTGTCTCCTTCCATCCATATGTAGATTGTTACCATCCTTTACTGAGTGAGTCATTCTTGGATCTGAAATATATGTTTGAATATAGGTAAAGCACTTCTTTGCAGTTTCCGAAGGAAAGTTTCTTTCATGCAATCTTGTTTGAAGGAGTAGCAATAACCCAAGATTTGTTGGTAATATTGTATAGAAGGAGGAATTTGTTTACATACGCATAGATTTTGTGAAAACTTTCAACTAGTGACTCTATAACCAAAGCCCAGAGAAGCAGGTTATACTGGAGTCATCAGAAGCACATTCCTTTCGGTCTTAACTCAGGAGTTGTCTTAAATCAGGACACAGAACAGGAACCGGGAAACTGAGTTTTGTCTACCTTGTCACGTATTGACTGAGTCACACAGTTGCTCATTCGTTCGCTCGACGTGTTTTTGTCGTACTCCCCCATGGCCGTCCGTCAATGTCTCTGAGTGCCAGATTCCATAAAATGGGCATGGAAGTATCTACTCTGTTGTGAGGGCAAATTCAATAACATATCTGACCTGAAAAGTCTAATTCCAATAAATTTATGAAGAAATGTTATTGAATGATTATCTCCTGAATCTATAAATTTAATCCGTTTCTTAATTAACTGTGCATGTGGATACATAAAGACATTGAACTGATGTATTTCTAAGTATCTTTTTTACCACTGTCATGCATTTTCCATTCTTCCACAGATATTAACATTTAGTCACATTTACTATGTGCTCAAGCCTGGACAAAGTAGGATGATTACCCAAGAGTCAGTCCCTTGACTAAAAGGGCTTAATTTTAGGGGACATGCTTAAAATCATATTTTTGATACTCTGGATTGGTTCTGCATCTACTTCTGCTAATTTTCTTATGGAAACTTCATTATAACAAACCATGCAGTCCTGCTAAGATCACTCTAGCCAGGCATGGTTATGAATGTCCTTTCACACCTGTGCAGAAATTTGCTGCCGTATGTCCTTCTGTGAGTGGACTGGGCTCTCTCAGAGTGGCCTTGGCAACGCACGTCCATCCAAACCACCAAGAAGCTATGCGTTCACCACTTCTAAGAGATTCAGTGAAAGGTGCCACTGCCTTCACCTGTCAACCTCCCAAGGGATTTCCCATCCAAAATCAATTTGTTTCTGATGTTTCCTCCACTCAGGAAATCATGCATGGCCCACAAACAGACCCTCTTGGCCTGAGAAATAAGATTACAAACTGGCATCCTCTTGCTTTTCTTTTCTCTCTGCAGAAAACACAGTCTGCCCTGAAGAATTCTGGAATGTGGCCTAATAACATTGATTCTCTCCTCCATTTCCAGCTTTGTTGGCTTGTAAATAGTGCTTCTTGCCTCTT